GTCCAGGGGACTCTCAAGAGTCTTCTCCAGCACCACAGTTCGAAGGTATCAATTCTTCGGCGCTCGGCCTTCTTTATGGTGTTGTAAGAAATATGGTAACTGCTTAAATTCACTACCACTGGAAAACTCTTTGGTCCAAATGAATTTCCCTCATTGCTTTCTACAAAAGCCCCTCCAATTGGGGTTGAGATGGATTATAGATCCATTACTATGTGTTTCAACAAACTTCCCCATTTTTTTTTTTTAAATGGGGACCAGGCTAAGTTACTGTTCTAAATTTCTAAATAAATTGTGATGTTGCACCTATGTTTCATCATAGCTGAACAGGCCCCAAACAATTTTAAGAGCTCCAAGGAAAGATAAAATTAACTAGCAAAAGGGAGAAAATGGCTGTGTCACATGATATAAGTTTTGTAATAACTGGCATTGATTAGAAATACTACTGTAATAATTTATCAATAACCAGAGAGAGCACAATCATCACAGAATTAGCATTGCCAGAGGCAGACTGCATTAAAAAACCTCAGCTTGGCAAGTACATTCATGTGTTCTTAAGCCAAACAATGTTTTTAATTGAACAGACAGTTCCAGCTGCTGTAACCACATTATTAGAGAGAGAGAAAGCAAGCTAAATTTATATAGAGCTGCTTGAGGTTCGGTTCGCTAATTGCCAGCACATCTGGATTTACTAACAGATGGTTTCACACAAAACAAAAACTACATTTGGAAGATAATTAGCTTTCAGTATAAATGCAAAGCAAGAATCACTAGTAGAAGTATATTCAGCCATCTCATTTTCACAATAGATAAAATAATAACGATTAGTCTCCACTCTGGGCCAAAGAAGATATGCAGCCATCCTGACCTGGTACCTGTAAGCTGTTTGGAAGTAAATGAGAAGAAACAAGTTCAGATTTAATCCTAACGAAACTCCAAATCGAAATGGAACTATCCTATAGACAGCATGCTGTACAATGTTTTTTTTTTTTCCTGGATCTATAGCTTCTGCTAGAAGAGCCAGTAGAAGTCATGCCATGTCACCCTTTGCCCAACTTTGGCTAGTGTGCCAGTTGCAGCTGTCTCTAGAATGAGGGACTTTGGCAGTCACTTATGCCCTTGTCACCTTACAACTACTGCAGTTAGCTCTATGTGGGGCTTGCCCTTGAGGACCATTCAGAAACTAGAGCGGATTCAAAATGCACCTGCCTGCATGGTATCGGGTCAAGTTAAATGCAGCCATGTAATACCAATATCACAGAAACTGCCTTGGAGGCCAGCGTCTGCATTTGGTTAACTGTGCTGTACCTGAGTGTCACAGTATGATGGATTGTTGTTTTTTTAAGGTGGAGATGTACTTATTGCAAAGATGGCAATGGACACAGAAATACCTGGCAGTGGAGGCTGTTACGCTTTTTACTATATACAGTTATTTATAGCAGGTATTCACAACAGAGCTAAACAACACAGACCTGGTGTCAGGTTTCCTCCCAGGTATCCCTCCCGGTGACTTTCCCCTTCTATCCTTCCTTTCTCTCCATCTCTCTCCCCAGTTTCTGGGCTTGATGGGAGAGAATGTGTGAAAATAAAGGAATGGAATGGACTTTACATAGAATGCTCAGTGTGGCTTGAATTTTCTCCTGCTCAGCTGAAACGTCTACGGCTTCTCCGTTGGGGGATGAATCTCTCTCAGGGTCTTCTGCCCAGTTTTTCCCCAGAAACCAGGGCTTCTCTACTGGCAGCCGATGCCCTCTGCTCCCTCCAGGATCTTTAATGTAGCTGCCACCTGCAGCCAGCCAGTCCCTCCTTCCTGTTCTTGGGTCTTGTGTGGAGCTCTCATCCCACTGGGTCTTCACTTCCCTTCTTCCAGGGAAGCCACCTCTGGACAGTTGTTCTCACCCTGAACAGGAACCAACAAATGCTTTGCACACTTCACTTCTCTGCCCACCTTCTCTCCAGCTACTCCTTTTACTCCAACTACTATCTTTTACTTACCTCTACTTCTCTCCACTCCTCCTCTTTTTTTTCCCAATTTTTGGTTAGACCAGCAGCATATCCCAAAGCACTTGAGGAGGTGGGTGTCCCTCCAGGGCTCTAGTGCCCAACACCTATGTACTTCGCTGCACCAATGGGACTGCTGTCACAAAATCTCCCCACACCAGCCCTGGCTAGCAGCCAGGTCAGCTCATCAGGCCTTGTGATAGAGCAGCTGCCCTTCAAGGCTAGAACTGAGCTGGCCCTCCAACCCCGACTTTTACTCACTCCAATGCTGGTTCATGCCAGCAGCAGCAGCCATGCCAGACTACTAAAATCCATGTGCCACACAGAGACAGAAAGCAGCTGCTATAATTGTATTTTCATGCATTTAGGGTCTTGTAAGCTTTTTAGGGTAACACTGCAATGTAAAAGGACAGCTTAAATATTTTAAATAAAGCATATATTCTATTAAAGGTCTAAAATCACCTTTAAAGGAACTTAAAAATAATACTTTAATACTCTTTTAAAGAGCATTCCGTCTTTAGAACTTGTTCGCATTGCTGAATTCTATTTTGTCTGCTGTACATTAAATTCTTTTATACTGTAATAGTGTATCTAAGCCAGACCAGTTTAACAAAACTTAATATCTAATACTTGATTTCACAGTGAATCAAGTTGCATTGGAAAAAAGATATCGTACTGACAATATCTGACTGGGAACTCGAATAATATGCAGCAATGATGAAACTAACAGCAAATATACAGAAGTTTCACTAAATTTAAGCAAGAATGTATATATAACACAGCAAGGCAAATATAAACATTTAGAATATGGTTTCTAAAGGTTATGTTAATATTGTAAATTGGTTGGAGTAAACAGAAGGGGTTAGAAATGAAGTACTTATCTATATTTTTTGTGTTTTTTCTTATTTTTAGTATTTACAAATACAGTGGGGATTTGACACTAAGCCCAGAGATTTATGCAGTAATATATAATACATATCTCACAAAAACAACTCAATGTAGTTTGTCTGGAATGGTTATCTTTTATTAATGTTACACTGAGCATTAATTGGATACCTCCAAAATTTTTATTTTTCCACTTACTGACATATCTCTTCTAGAATTCTTTGTTTTAAATAAATATTTTTTAAAAGTTATATTTCTGAAAACGTAATCATAACCCTAACCGAACTAGTAATTCTAATGACTGTGTTCATTGGGACTAAATAAAAGACAATCAACATCCTGGTATTTTGTAACCATATATTCAAGTGTGCAAGAAGCAATGCATTACTTTTGTTGAAGACTGATTTCTAGAAATCTACTGGGCACAGACATACAATTATTAAAAGACAACCTCAGTACCTCACAGAAGACAAAATATAGAAGTGTTTTCCCCTTTTTGGTCTTTAAACATGATTAGCATATATGTAAAGCATATATAAGCTACATAAGATTACATGTGCATTCTTTGATAAAAAAAAATGCCAAACTACTTGCTCTTGCCTTCTTTGTTTGTTCATATATACTATCTTTCTTCAATAAAGCTATTTTTTCTGATTTAACTCCAAACTGAAACTTTAAAAATGATTGTTGGTGTTGTAATTGGGTATGACCGTAGCTAGGTAACTGAAAAACTGTCTTCATAAAACATGCTAAGCCAAAATCAGAGTACATTATGACTTAGCATGCTGTGTGAACTCAACCTATTATTGTTTATCCAATACACCAAGCCCAGCTAAGTAGCAGCATCTAGCATCCTTGGCTCAAAATCAGACCTGGTTAACCCTAGGATAGAAGATCGTTAGCAAAGATCCGAGCTGTAAGTTAAACATGTAAGAAACACCTTAGAAGGCAGCAATGGCGAACCGCTCCTGTACTTTTGCCAAGAAAACTGCATGCCCATGTAATCACCAGGAGCCAAGCACAACACAAGGAAACCAGTACTTTCACATTATACCGCAGTTAAACTATAGCTTAGCAATGCTGCATTAACCCAGCAATTCTTGTTTATAGACCATGGTTTTTAACTGTCATTAAGTCAAGCCAGCCAACTATAACTTATTCAATAAACCAGTCATTACAAATGTACTAAGAATACTCCAATTCCGCGCTCACCGCTGTAAACACTCTTCCTACCAGCCACAGAGCTTTTTATTTTCCGGCTGGGAGGCAATCCCAGCAAACCATAGATCCGCAGTGCAAACTGGGAGACATTTTAGACCAATGGGCAGCGCCGATTGGCTTTCGGAGGAGGAGCTTCCGGGGTCGCGATTGGGAGGTAGCGGTTTCTTTCTGGTCGGCCAAAAGGGCATATAAGAAAGCCCCGGTGCGGGCCTCAACCATTGCCCTCGCCGACTTCAGCGAGCGGAGGTGCGGGAAAGACCTATAAACAAACACTGTGGCCCGGCGAGGAAGGAAAGCTAAGCGAGGCAAGACGGGTTGGAGAGATCAGTAGGAGAAACAAATAGGCTGCGCAACAGAAATTTTGATCGTGGCCGCCTGACTTGTTTCCCTCGGGTAGGTAGAGGGGCTTGGAACCGGACGGGGAGCCCAGAGAGAATAATGGTAGCACCCCGAACTTCGTAGCGGCGCCAGCAGGCGTTTTGCTGAAGCTGCCCTGTACTTCCCCATCGCTTCCTCTCCCCCCACCCCCGGTACTTCTGTAGTTTTCTTCTATATTTGTCCACAGGCTTTGTGTGGAGATGCGTGCCGTTGTTCTTTTCTACACGTTTGTTGGGGTGGATCTGGAGATAGCAGTTTGTTACGTGAATGCCTTGGGTATTGTGGTTTAATTATTGTTCCGAAGTAGGCTGTTCTGTGGTCGGAGCTTAACTTCCAGGAGAATGTTATAAGCTAGCTGGTCTGGAAGAGTAGTTCTGGATGTAAGATTGAAGTTCCAAAGAACAGATATATTCCAGTTAGATAGCAGACTATTCCGTTTTTTTAAAAATAGAAATAATAGAAAATAGAATACACACACATGCACATGTATATAGTTAAACAAGATGTAGTTCCATAAACACAATGGGGACATTTTCAGCAATTGTACTTGAAATGAAAGGAATGGAAGATTTTAAGTATCTGAAGGGGTGTTACCCAAAATAAAGTAAATATCTGTTCTTTGTTGTTCAGGAGTATGGATTATGTAATAATGGTCTAAAGTCCCAAGAAATCAGATTCTGGTTGAATGCTAGGAAAAATAAAACGATGATAACAGTAAGAACAGTATGATACTGAGAATCATTGGGAAGTAGTGCTCCACTGGACTGATATTTATCTGCGTTGGTAGATACTTATCTTTGATTTTGAGTAGTTTTAACCTTCATGGCTTATATGCTGTGTTCTGGCTCTGATTCTGTGAAAAACTACATCTGGGAAATACATGTTTAGCTTAGTAGTAGGGAGCCTATCAAATACTCCCTGATACCCAATCATTCTTGTCAGCAGAGTTGATAGTTAGGGATGGGAGTTGTTTTAAAAATATGAGGAAGGTCTCTAACCTGAAAATTAATTTAAAACAAAGCTGATTAGCCTTTACAGACACCTCCCATCTGCCAACTAAAAATGGACTGCAGTATTTTACTGTGTTAAAGCAAGGTGTTTGTAGCCTGCCAAGCAAAATGGAAACAGAGAGGCTTCCACCCTTCTCCTCACCCAGTTTAGCTCTATTCATCTGGAACTTTCTCATTAGTTAAAGGCTAAACATGTTTTTGTGACTTTATTGTTGGCAGGAGAGCCATCAATAAAGAAATTAGGGTGAAAATGCATTTTGACAAATGTTGGCTAGAATGATTTATGAGTGATGTTGTTATTGTCATGTTTCTCAGTGTGCAGTAGACCAGTATTGTCAAGTAAAATGTAAGCTAAAGCAGTGGTCCTAGTTTCTCTGATCAGCATGTAACTGATATACTAACTAGAGCCAGTGTGGTGTGACTACAGTAATCCCCAGTTTAAGAATGAGCTCCATTCCCAAGGTCTGCCCTTAAGTTGAATTTGTATGTAAGCAGAACTATATTATTGTATAATACTGTACAAGCAGTATTATGTAATGAACTCAAACAATTGCACATTTAACTCGAATCATGTATTTAACTCAAATTTTGTTACAGTAGACTATGTTCTTAACCGTGGGTCATCCTTAAACCGGGCATTCTTAACCTAGAGACTACCTGTAATAAGGTGTTGAACTATGATTGGCAGGATCTACTTCTAATCCACCTTTAGCTATGGATGCTCACTGTTTCAGCCCAGCTTATTTTGCATGGTTGTTTTAGAGATAAATGTGGAGGATGGAGTTCTCTGCATACCACCTTGAGCTCCTGGCTGAAAAATGAGGCTTATATTAAATAAGTAGAAAGTTGATAGGCATTGACATCTGCAGGCATATTAACTAGATCTCACCAAGTAAAGTTCAGGTAGAACTACACTGTTTTTATCTTAATCCAATTGAATGCAAAGCTACTTGTTTGTTTCTAGTCACAAACAACATGAACTTATTTATGAGAAGCTTCTCGTGTGAATTAACTTATATTAAGAAAGTATAAAGTCTTGCTGGATCAAACTGAAAGCTTACATGGACTAACTTTCTATTTCTGCAATGTTCTACCAGATCATGAGTGCTTTAGTACCACTCATATATTTCCTAGTAATTTGTAGTGATCAAGAAATCTATAGATAGCGGGAGCAGTGTTTTGCCTTCATGCTGACTCCCAGTAATAATCTTATTCACCTGATGCTTTTTCAAGCTCTCCAAAATGATGGCCATCTGCTATTATTAGTATTAATACTATTAGGTAAAGAGGTCTAGTTCAGCTGTGGAGCACATGGTTTCTAAACAGCAGGTTCTAGGTCAATTCCTGATGCCTCCAGTTTGAACTGGGAAAGACCCTTATCTGGAGAGTGGACCAGTGACTTGACTAAATTCTTTTTAAACTGTATTTTTTAAATTGTTAAAAAAATTGATTGACATTTGTCCTGGATTGTTGTGATCCAGAACAATTTGAAAGAAAGATGTGGTGCAGACCTTAAATTAGACTGAAGTACTATTAAAGATATTTATATAGCAGATAAGATTCAGCCTTATGCTAAAACAATAGCTGCCTGTAATTATGTTTTAATTTAAATATTTGTCTTGTTAGTATCTTTATGTAATTTTTATTTTTGTGTTATAACATCATCACAATGTAAATATCTAGTTCCATTGAAAAGAGGCAAAATATGTTAAATGAGCATATACTGTCTTCTGTCTGGTGACACCATGCAATTCTTCATATAAAATTATGTAGATGATGTAGTTTGCCATTCATGTCTGATATAAAATGTTTATATTAACTGTTTCAGTTAATTCAGCAAACTATTCAGATTGCGACAAAATTATCATCTGCTCTCTGTACTGATTGATTGAGTTATTATATGCCATCAAGTTGGTATCAGCTCCTAATGACTACATTGCTAGACTTTCTCTAGCAAAAACAAACATCCTAAAATGCAAATTAGTTTGTTTCTTCCCACATTTTCTTTTACAACTGATACATCCTACTGATATTTGGGTTCATACTCTTCCTTTAAAGTAATCTTTCTTTCTTTCAGGACTAGCACAGAATCTGATGCAGTTCTCCCCTGGATATGGATCACATCCTCAAAACTACAGTGCTCCCTCAGGAAACCTCTCACAAGTGCCCAGTAAAGCGATTCCTTCACAGCTGGAAAACTATTATGGTGCAGATTATTATTCTGCCCAATGCTCTGTACCAGCACAGTATGCTAATGTCTCTTCTGTGACACCGAAGATGTTAAACACACAGGGATCACAACACTTGTACAATAGAGCACCTCATAATGCAGAACCATCAGGACCTATCCAAGGAACAGTATCTCCTGCATCCCAGTTGCATACCAGCATTTCACAGTCATATTCCTCACTTACTAGTCCCTACAACAATTCCGTCTTGCATTCTGCCAGCTCTTCTGTTCCATCTCAGGGATTTGTTGCTTCCTCTAGTCACTATCCCATGCCTGCTGGGTCTAGAGCTGCTTACTCTAATATTATATATCCTCCCGTGTCCACTGGTAGTCCATATGGGCACATGCCTGGTTCCCAACCTGCGATGGCACATGGCCATTTGAATGCGGCAGGTGCTTATTCTAATCAAAATAGAGCCCCACCTGCAGGACCACCCAGAGTTCCTTTGGGCTACAGCTCTGCATCGTGGAGTGCTCCAGAGCTCCAGTTGGCTCAGGAGAATCGTAGCAGCTTTACAGGATCCCTACCTGAGGCAAACAACACTTTGAGCACAGGTATTGTACAGAGAAACAAATTGATGTGCTTGCTTTATGCTGAAAATGGATTGACTGCTGTACAGAAAGTTGTGTGCAAGTGATGGAAGCTGAATGTTCTTACTGTGCTTCATATTCCCAATTTTTTTTCTTTTCCCTCCTAGCTTGCTTTTTCTTTCTGAACTACAGTATAAGCCAAATGTGTTGTTGTGTGCTATTAAAATGAATTCTGGTTTATGTTCAAGATTGTTTGCTCTCTATTTAATCCACCCATACCTTTAAAAGATAAGAGTGATTATTTATTTGCAGGATTTTAATAAGCAGTACAGTGGTACCTCTACTTACGAACTTAATCCGTTCCGTGACTCTGATCGCAAGTCGAGTTGTCGCAAGTCGAAGTAAATTTTCCCATAAGGTTCAATGTAATTACCGTTAATCTGTTCTGGCGTCTGTGGACCACGCGTCAGGGGCAGAAAAACGGCCGCTGACCACGCAGCAGGGTGGAAAAAATGGCCATGGACCACGTGGAACGGGCGGAAAAACGGCCGCGGACCACGTGGAATGGGTGGGAAAATGGCCGTGGACCACGTGGAATGGGTGGGAAAATGGCCGCGGACCACGTGGAACGGGCGGAAAATGGCTCGTAAGTCGAGGCGAATTTGTAAGTAGAGGTAAATTTTTGGGGCCAGAGCTGATCGTATCTTGAAAATTTCGTAAGTAGGGGCATTCGTAAGTAGAGGTACCACTGTATATTGCCTCTAATAGGCAAAGCTGATACATTCGTTATGCTCAGACTGCTTTCAGTTTAATACATTTTTTTTTTTTTTTTACTGGAAGCTGATCCTTCATTTTCTTGCTGATATTAGTGTTGTGACAGCAATAGACTAATTTGTTTTTCAAGTTTGATTCCAAACTTCCA